ATTTGGGTGAAATAACGAAGGGGAAAGCCACGAGTTATTCCAAATATATGTTATTTTCCTCATAAATAAAAAAAACAACTAGGTGACCTGCAATAGCAGGTAACCTGGTATTTTTTATACTAAAATAACAATAATGGTCTTTTTTGTACAATTTTGATATTTCATTACCTTTTTAAGTCATTTTCCCTTTATTTTTCTCATCTTTCCCAACCGACAACACACAGAAACTCTATCTTTTTGAACTCACTCAATTAAAAAAAATACAAAACAATCAAAGGTAAAATCTTAATTAGCAATAGAGTTACCGGCGGTACCACTCCCGCTTCAACGGGTTGGTTAATTGGTTTCACTAACCCACTTCATCATCTCTCTCTACTTTCTCTCTCTCATTTTCTCTTGTACCATGTGTTTTAAAACATGTACCTTAGTTGTTTTGTATTTTTTTTAATTGAATGGGTAGAGAAAGATAGGATTTTCATGTGTTATGGGTTGGGAAAGATGAAGAAAAAAAAAGAGACAAAATTTGATGTGACAGTGGGTTTAGTAGGTTGGGAGGGAATGACTCCCTCCTCCCTTATAGGTGTTGTAATGTCTATTAATGTTCTCACCCCATACTCAATTTTAGTCATTTTATGTACTTGGGTTAAATTTAGTACATACTTTCAAGAAACACAAAATCTAACAAAACTAAAACTGAATGAGCCATCTTGAATGAATCCTATAGTTAATTAGTTTAAAATCTAAATCCCACAGATCCACCATGGAAGTGCACCCTTTCCGATGTCATTTGTCACCATTTCCAGTGCCATTTGTCCGAACAAATACAGTGACTTAGATTCAGGAGAACTATCATCATTACAAATATTGGTTGTACTCCGGCAACCCTTCAAATTTCCCAATGAAGTGTAACTTTTTTGCAAAATCTTTTTATTTAACGTAAGTGTAGCCTCCAAGAAAAAATTGTACAACTTCTGATATTTTTTTATGGGTCGGCCTCTGCCTCTAGTTGTGGCCCTCTCAACAGCTTGAAGAACATCCTCCTTAGTCACAAAATCACCATCTAACAACATACCCAAAACATAATCAACACATCGCTATGTCTAAACACTTACAAAATGTTAAGTTTTAGCACAAACAAACCTCTACGAGCAGCAAGAAGTACGGATTCATTAGCTATATATTCAATATCAGCCCCTACTAACCCGGGTGTAAGTGAAGCAACAAGGTCACAAATGTCATCTTTGTCCTCCTCCTTCATGGGCACCTCTTCCATATATAAACCAAAAATATTTCGTCTTCCATCTTCATCCGGTTCACCCACAACCACTTTTCTGGAAAACCGACCCGGTCTCATCAAAGTAGAGTCTAGTGACTCGGGTCTGTTTGTAGCCGCTATAACCACCACATTTGCACTCTTCACAAACCCATCCATCTCAGTCAAAAGCTAACACATCAAAATTCAAAACAAACACAACATTTTATGTCAAGTGTCAACAACTATTTGTTTGACTTTGACCATGAAATTAAATAGGAAGGTTATTTTTTTACCTGGTTTAAAGTTTGGTCGCGTTTACTATTCGAACTGCTTCCACATTCTCCTCCAACAACATCTATCTCATCAATGAAAATAATAGAAGGCGAACGTTTTCTTGCCTCCCGGAAAAGCTCTCGAACACGGGCAGCCCCGGCCCTGACATAAACCTCGGCCAATTCACTAGCGGAAATTGAGAAAAACGTCACGCCAGCTTCTCCGGCCACCGCAGGGGCCAACAATGTTTTTCCGGTTCCCGGGGGACCCGTAAGAAAAACCCCTCGTGGTAGTTTCGCCCCAAGTTTCATACTATCTTTTTTAATGCACGAGACAATATACAAAAAGTTCTAACATGTAGGAATCAGGATTAATCCCAAGTTATAATAATTAATAAGCAATTGCAAATTAGTAAATCACCTCAAGAAGTTCAGCTTTGGCAGCATCAGCTCCTTCCACGTCATCGAAAGTTAACAAATGTTTCTTACTCGGTTTTCTCTTTCTCATTTTTCCAATATTTTGTAGAAAGTAAAGGTAAAGCTGATAATAATAAACAAAGAGCCTGATCCATCTAGTGGATGACTTTAACATTACATACAAGGAGTCATTTGTTGATTTGAAGAACTTCTTCATTGATGTGGATAAAAGCTGAGGGGCTGACCCTGAGCTGTATGTGATTTTCTTATCTTTGAGCACCTTAATAAGCTGAAATACATCGTCCCCTAGACTTGTAGTAGTATATTGCATGCCACTTGGGTACAAAAGCTTTCAAAAGTCCTTATGGCCCTCCTGATTTAGTTAGTGGAGTTTCATTTGATGATTTTTTGTTATAATAGATTTGTTTGGAGTCTTCCACAAATCGAACATGTAGCACACTACCATCATCAATGTTGTCAACAAGATCAGAATAAGGGACAACTACGTAACACGATGCTTGTTGTTTTGGTATGACAATACAGAAAATTTCTACAACCACACAAAAAGAAGCTCCCACTATAATCGCGTATATCTTTGGACTTAGATTACCACCACCGCCACCATCACCAGACATCCTTCTTCTTGTTTTATGACTTTTTCTTTTTGCCGCCTGCTTGTCTGTAATGTAATGTAATGTAACTCAAGAATGAAAATTCCTGGAAGGAAAACAAGTACAAAAATTGCATACCATCTTTTTTGCCTTTGGTCTCTGCAACTGAATTGACAGCTCTGTGAGTGTCTTCTTTGGCTGCCAATTGACCTAGTAACTTCACAGATGTTGCAGATAATCAGTTTTGATTCTAGAAGTTCAAACATTTAACTTTTACAAATTGCAATTATCATGAATGTCTACAATCAACACTATGTTGGATTTAATCCAATGTGTTCAAATGAGAGAAATTCACTGCAGGGATATTTTCGTCCATTATCTTTAATTTGAATAAGTAAAAGGCCATGTTGGCCATAAAGTCCTCTTCTTTAGTAGATGTAGCTAATGGGTAGTTCAGTTGCTAGTTTCTAGGGATTTACTTTGTTAAGTAGAATGTTTTCCTTTTTTTGTTTATGTATGCACTGGAATAAAATCAGAAAATTTGGCCCCAAAAAAAGCTTCCCTGTTCTTTCCTCTTTGTGCTCTGTTTTCTGTCTTGCACCAGGATGATAGGGTTGATTCCAACATTTGGTATCAAAGCCCGGTTTATGCCCAAGTATCAACCCCGACAAACAACTATGGGTGATAGAAGTGATAAGGAAGGCCAGATAACTCTGCACTACCTTATGCTCTCAAGAAACAACTACGCTGTGTGGGCCATCAAGATGAAGGTTTTCATGCAAGCCCAAGGTGTATGGGAAGCAGTTGAGCCCAGAATGGCCAACACCGTAGTTGAAGTAAAGAAGGATAAACTAGCGATAGCTGCCATCTATCAAGGGATTCCTGAAGATCTCTTGTTATCGTTGTCAGAAAAGCAAACAGCCAAGGAGGTATGGGATGCCTTGAAGACAATGTACTTGGGGGCAGATAGGGTTAAGACAACAAGGGTACAAACATTGAAGACTGAATTTGAAGCTTTGAACATGAAAGAATCAGAAACAGTTGATGAGTTCTCTGTCAAGATCAACAATATTGTAAGTAATATTCGAGCCCTTTGGTGATAAAGTTGAAGAAGCATATGTCGTGAAGAAAATGCTTCGTGCAGTACCATCCAAATTCCTTCAAATTGCATCCACCATTGAACAATTTGCAGACTTGGATGTGATGACTATAGAAGAAGTAGTAGGCAGATTAAAAGCTCATGAAGAGAGGGTTAAAGGGCATGGTGAAGTGGAAGCAAAGAAACTCTTGCTCACCCATCAAGAGTGGTCTGACAGGAATAAGAAGCAAAGTGAAAACTCTACTAAGAATGCTAACAAGTCGCATAGAGGAACTTCTAGCAATCCAAGGGGTCGCGGAAGAGGTCGTGGTAGAGGTTCTAGCACTCGAGGAGGCCGAGGCAGAGGCGGCGGTTATCAACAGCGAGATGGAAACCGGGGTAATTCAAGTAATCGGGATAAGAGTACAGTTCAGTGCTATAACTGCCAAAACTTTGAGCATTTCGCTGCAGAATGCCAAAATCCTAGACGTGAAAGGAATCAAGAAGTCAATTTAGCTCGAGAAATCAATGATGACGAACCAACACTTTTGCTATCTGCCTCAAATGAAGAGAATAAGGTTCTTGAAGTGCATCTAAATGAAGAGAAAGTGAATCCAAAGTTGAGATCAGCAGGTGATGAGCAAAGAACATCAAACATGTGCTACTTGGACAATGGTGCAAGTAACCATATGACAGGTGAAAAAGAAAATTTTCGTGAACTGAATCAATCCATCAAAGGTTCAGTGAAGTTTGGTGATGGATCAAGGTTTCGCATTGAAGGAAGGGGTTCAATCGTGTTCCGGTGCAAGAACGGTGAACATCGTGTGCTTCGTGAGGTATATTACATACCAAGTTTGTGCAGTAATATTGTAAGTCTGGGACAATTGGCTGAGGGTGGTGATCGGATCGTTATGCTTGGATAATTCATGTGGATTCATGATAAAAAGGGCAAACTTCTCATGAAAGTTAAAATGTCTTCTAATCGCTTGTATAAAATCATATTAGGAGACATCAGTTTAAAGTGTTTTCTTAGGGCTAAGGAGGAACCAGAAAAGTTATGGCATGCACGTATGGGTCATTTAAGTTATCGTACACTAAAACTCATGTCAGATAAAAGCATTGTTCAGGGACTGTCAAAGATGATTAGTCCCACAGCACTATGTGAAGGATGTTTGGTGGGTAAGCATGCTCAAAAACCCTACCCATCACATACAAATTTCAGGGCAAGCAGGAAACTGGAACTAATTCACGGGGACCTCTGTGGTCCAATCTCACCACCTACACCTGCAGGAAACAAGTATTTCTTTCTGCTCGTTGATGACTTTAGTCGGGTGATGTGGGTCTACCTGGTGCAATCAAAGGATCAAGTGTTTGGTGTGTTCAGAAAATTTCGGGCAATGGTAGAAGTTGAAACTGGTGAAAGAATGAAGGTGTTCCGGACAGGTCGTGGGGGGGGGGGGAATTCCTCTCAAAAGAATTCACCTCTTATTGCGAAGAAACGGATCTACAAAGACACTACACGACTCCATTTTCTCCCCAACAAAACGGAGTCGTGGAGAGACGGAATCGAACTGTTGTTGAGATGACAAGAAGCTCGTTAAAAGCTATGAAGGTGCCTGATGTTTTGTGGGGTGAAGCTGTACGTAATGCAGTCTATATCTTAAATAGGGTGACCACGAAGGCCCTTAAAGAAGCAACACCTTATCAGATGTGGACCAGGAGAAAACCAAATATCGAGCATCTAAGAGTTTTTGGATGCATGACACATGCAAAGGTAAAAACAGGTCATCTCCGCAAACTTGATGATAGAAGCAAGTCACTAGTCTACCTGGGAACAGAAATAGGGACGAAGGCTTATCGTTTATTTGATCCAGTCACAGGGTCAATCCGTATAAGCAGAGAAGTTTACTTTGAAGAAGATAAGATGTGGTCGTGGGATACTACAGAAAAGTTTAAACATATTCCAGGTGTCACGTTCACAGTTGAGGGTATATCACCACAGGTAAAAGACATAATTGATCAGGTTGAAGATGAAGGTGCCAACACAGATTCACTAACACCTGATCAAGGTGATGGTATGCATTTCCAAGGGAACGATGAGGTGACTGAAGACATCTCACAAGGCAACACCATGCATCCGAGCCCACAGGAAGCCTCACCTTCTCCTATAACCCCTATGAGCTCAACCAGATCAACAAGCACTGTTTCTAGTTCAACTGGTGGAGGAGCTCCCAAAAGGTACCGACCTATATGATGAGTGTGAACAAATTTTACTCTTAAATGAAGACGAAGAACCAGTCACTTATGGCATGGCTAGCAAAGAGAATCATTGGGTCGATGCAATGAAGAGTGAAATAGAAGCTATAGTAAAAAACAAGACCTGGAACCTTGTAGACCTTCCACCCGGTAGAAAACCAATAGGGCTCAAATGGGTATACAAGGTGAAAAAATATCCAAGAGGACAGTATTGAAGTATAAGGCACGCTTGGTCGCGAAGGGGTATGTGTAAAAGCCAGGTGTTGATTTTGACGAGGTGTTTGCCCCTGTAGCTCGAATAGAAATGGTTCGAATCTTACTTGGACTCGCTACAAAGAACGGTTGGAAAGTACACCACCTGGATGTGAAATCAGCATTCCTAAATGGGGAACTAGAAGAAGAGGTGCATGTGATCCAACCAGAGGGATTTGTGAAAAAAGGTCAAGAAAATAAGGTGTACAGATTGTCCAAAGCTTTATATGGCTTGCGCCAAGCACCTAGGGCTTGGAATTCGAAGCTTGATGGTTGTCTCAAACAACTTTGGGTTCAAAAGGTGCCCATACGAGTATGATGTATACACAAGAAACAAGAATGGAAAGTTATTGATTGTTGGTGTATACGTTGACGACCTCATTGTTACAGGTGATTCTAATCTAGAAGTGGAACACTTCAAGGAGCAGATGAGCAAGAAATTCGAAATGAGTGACATGGGGATGCTCTCCTATTACCTTGGTATTGAGGTAAACCAACATGATGGTGGGGTCACTTTGAAGCAAGTTGCATATGCAAAGAATATACTTGTGAAGACAGGCATGACAGATTGTAATCCTTGCAAATACCCTATGGAGCCTAAGCTGGAACTAACAAAAGATGAAGAGGGAGAAGAAGTAAATGTCACAGATTACAGAAGTGTGGTTGGTGCACTGCGATACTTGACTCATACTCGACCTGACATAAGCTATGCCAGTTGCTTAGTAGCAGATGCATGGAGAGACCCACAGTTCAACACATGAAGGTTGTCAAACATATATTGAGGTATGTGAAAGGGACCATGGACCACGGTCTAGTTTACACCATAGGCAGCAAAGAAACCATCATCACCGGGTACACAGATAGCGATCATGCCAGAGATGTAAACGATGGAAGAAGCACAGGTGGAATGGCTTACTACCTAAATGAGAACCTGGTTACCTGGGGATCTCATAAACAACGATGTGTTGCTCTATCTTCGTGTGATGCAGAATTTATGGCAGCTACTACAGCCACATGTCAAGGAATCTACATCAAATGCTTACTAAGTGAAATTACTGGTTGTAACATCAAGGCACATGTCTTATACATTGATAACAAGTCAACCCTGCATCTAGCAAAGAACCCTGTCTTCCATGGGAGAAGCAAACATATACACATGAGGTATCACTTCATACGCGAGTGTGACATCCCCTAATTTCTCGGCCAGAAAAGACCGATTTAATTTATGCTTTTTAAAATAAAATCAGAGAAATATTTTCAAAAGATATTGCGGAATAGGTCCCCAATATAAAACATTATAATGTTTATCAAAACCTTTCTTTAAGAAGGTATATATTTCCCATATATATCAAAACCTCGGGATGTCATGTTCCGATATAGATCAAAAGCATAAACAAGACATTATAAGCCTTT